TGTACTTTTAAATGTTAAGACACAGAGGAGAGACTTGGAGACAGACGCTGCTCCATCTTAAAATGACAGAGAGGCTGACATGATGACATGTTCAGAAGGGTATGTTAACCTATTAATGATATTTGCAAGCATGTAATTTAATCTTATAAACTCTGCTATAATGGATTTTATATTTTTATATAATAAATATCCAAAAAGACAATCTTGCTTCCAAGACAATCCTTATTTTATATTGTATTCTCAATTATTTATATATGTTAAATAGAGGATCTCTTACACTATATAAAATTATGGCTAAGATATCTGTATGGTTAGCCCTACTAAGTTCTATGCTTTAAGACATTATAGTGGTAAATAAGGGAACCAGCCACGGTTACACTATGAATGAGGATATAGTCGATTTCCCCCAAGAATGGCCAGGCTGAAGGTGGTAACCCCCCCACCAAGTTTAAAGGAACACTATAGTCACCTAAATTACTTTAGCTAAATAAAGCAGTTTTAGTGTATAGATCATTCCCCTGCAATTTCACTGCTCAATTTACTTTCATTTAGGAGTTAAATCACTTTGTTTCTGTTTATGCAGCCCTAGCCACACCTCCCCTGGCTATGACTGACAGAGCCTGCATGAAAAAAAAAACTGGTTTCAATTTCAAACAGATGTAATTTACCTTAAATAATTGTATCTCAATCTCTAAATTGAACTTTAATCACACACAGGAGGCTCTTGCAGGGTCTAGCAAGCTATTAACATAGCAGGGGATAAGAAAATCTTAATTAAACAGAACTTGCAATAAAGAAAGCCTAAATAGGGCTCTCTTTACAGGAAGTGTTTATGGAAGGCTGTGGATGTTACATGCAGGGAGGTGTGACTAGGGTTCATAAACAAAGGGATTTAACTCCTAAATGGCAGAGGATTGAGCAGTAAGGCTGCAGGGGCATGTTCTATACACCAAATCCATTGCAAAGCAATGGCCTGATGATATTTTTTAAAATCAGGTAAAGCCAAACCTCTGTCTGGGAAGACAGAGCAAAACATGGCGCAGATGGGATCGTTCCCCAAGCCAAACATATCCGATCACCGCTGTCTTCAAAGAGTAGAACAATTTTGCCAGTGGGGCGACTGGGATTGTTTGGAAGAGGTATAATACCCTCGGGAGCACATTAATTTTAACTACAGCCACCCTACCATGCCAGGACACATGTGGGTACGACCATTTCTGTAGGTCCTCCAGTAACGTCTTCAACAGGGGAAGAAAATTGCATTGATATAGATCTCGCAGATCTGTGGTCACCAAGACTCCTAGCTATTTAATTTTACCATAGCACCAGTGGAACTGAAATAAAGTGTGTAGGGCTGCATAGTAGTTAGCAGGGAAGGTGACATTTTGACATTGAGCTGGAAGCCAGAAAACATACCAAACCTCTCGAATTCTGACAAGAGACAGGGCAAGGTGACCCTCGGATTCGTCACAAAGAGGAGATCATCTGCATTAGCAGCGACCCTATGTTCCACCCCCTGCAAGGCATAACCTGAATATCCGAAATTTGGTGGAGGGCCGGAAGGGTTCTAAGGACATGGCAAAAAGCATTAGCGAGAGAGAACAACCCTGACGCGTCCCATTGTGAATGCTAAAATCTGTTGTTAGAGCTCCATTCACCCTCACCGAAGCGCGCGGTTTGCTATATAGTGCAGCCACCCATCTGAGCAATCTCGTACCCAATCCCATGCTCTTCAGCATAGCCATCATATAGGGCCAGTTAACACGGTCAAAAGCCTTCTCGGCATCAGTTGACAACAAGAACATGCATTGTTTCATTTTTCTAGCGGGATGTTGTATAGCAGAGTCTCAAAGTGCTATCCCGTGCTTTATGCCCAGGAATAAAGACTGTCTGGTCTGCATGGATCAAATGTGACAGAGTTTGACATCCACATTGCTATTTATTATATATTGACCATAGACAGGTTGTGCAGTAAGGATACCGATGCATTAAAGCACACTGAAAAACTGATGGTAGAATCAAATCCTTGTTCTATCATTACATATTGTCATTACATGGTAAAATTCCCTCCGGAAACAAACATTTTGTAGTCTTTTTCCTTTGTCATATACATTAATGTCCACATACATTCCCTGCACTATACACAGTTTATACATTTAAGCAACATATTATTTCACTATGGTTACTTGTCTGTAGAGGATGTGTCTACATGAAGTCTTAGACAAAAGGGTAGCATTTGCATGCTGTTTTCAAACATCATTAAAATAGGACTAATAGGTTACATAAAACATTTCACACTTTTGAGTAGAATAGCAATAGTCAATCTACTTGTATGCTTACACTTTTTGGTGGGGGAAGTGGGATAGGTTTAAAAGTTCTAATTTCAGTTTTTGTAAACATTCCTGAACCAGCTCTGGTCATGGTTCCTTTAGCAGTCAAGTTTATGGTAATGACTGTGAAGTACTAAATCACTGGCTAAATCAATATCATGTATCATCAAACGGAGATATTCTGATATAATTTGGTATGTTAGTGGAAATCAATATATTGACAAATAAGTGGTTCCTTAACTGATTTGAATAAACTCCTACTCCACAGAAAGTAAAATGTTGAACTCCTGAAAAAACAAACACACATGCATGCACATAGGTTTAATCCACAAAATAGACGTGACATCAATATATATATTTACACCAAAGTAGAAGTGCTATTTTAACTTTTTATGAATAGGCAACTTAAATGAATCATTGACTGCTAGTATAAAACATGTACTGACCTGTGCCTTGTTTACCTTACCACTCAAAATTAGTATATTTTATAGACTTGGAGATTAATTTCAGTCCGAATAGCAATTCGTCTGAATTTGGGATGATTGGGTGATTGGTTGAATTCCCAAACTCCAAGCCGAAATGGACCTGAATCTCTGACCAACCGAAATGTACAATGACCGAGCAAAAAAAATAAATGGTTTGACCGAGCTGAATTTTCTCACTGTGCACAAGTCTAATATTTTATATTTGGCTAAATTGTGTAAAACAGAAAAAGAACAATAATCAGCGCACATGGACATATTTAGCGTGGTTTAGTAGACAGAGCTGGCTGTGACATCACTGAGTGCCTAGAGGAATAGTACTTGCCCAGTAGCTAGGTGTGAAATTAGTAAGTATGTAGCAAGACCTCCCATCATTTATAGCTTCGATGATGTTACTCTTCTCATATGCATACAGGCAGCCACACTATTTATCTTATCTGGTTACCTATGCTCACAATAAATGAGAAGTGTAATGTATGCAGTAATTGAGGTGAACTGACATACAGGGAAGCCCTTAGGCCAGCTGTGCAAAACCTGAAATTGCATCACTCCCTTGGCACACACAAATCTGAGCAGCAATATTCTGTAGGATGACATGTTCATTATTGAAGAGTATGCAGTGTGATCATGAAGAGCTGTAAGATCAGTACAAGTAGTATTACATTATTTAAGAACATGAGATGATGTTAGGTGGACGTAGATTACCATTTTCATAAAGAGTACGATTCATCTAAGTGGTCTTTAGTAAAATTTACTAAGGAATGCAAGTATTTTTTAACATCCCTCATTAAAGCAAGAGTGTGTGTACCCTAGGAGCATAACACTAAGGAATTGTATCCCAAGATTGCTGGCCATTGTGACAAATGCAAGTGAGGTGTTTTTCTGTTAAAAGTATACTCTAACCATAAAAACTAAGTATATATTTGTAGCACTGGCTGTGATGCAAGGTACCTCCCTATCCCTGCACTCTGTTGCAACTACAGCTAACTAGGCATATAAACGTACCCCTTAAATGTACACTTTGGGCACCATAACAACTTTATTGAATGAAGTTGCTCTCGTGCCAGGAGGTCTCCAGGCTCTTTTGTACCTGAATGGGTAAAAAAAACTGCCTCCAGTGCCAGATCTCCAGCTCTTCCAGCACAAGTTGACTTTGATGAAGCTTGGAGTGACTTTCTTCAGGGGTGCTGCTGATTGGCTATAGCAGCCAGCTAATACTTTAAACCAGGGATCCCCAGATGTTGTAAAACAGCTTCCATGATTTTTTGTCATTCTGAAGCATGCATATTGCTTTATTTTATTTTACCAGGATGGAAACATTGAGATTTCTCTCGTTTTCAAGTATGTCCCGGGTCCACAAAACATTACATTGTTACAATAAGATACAATATTACAAAAATACAATATACAAACTATATACACACATATATACATTTAATACATAACAGGTAATACATATATTCAACTATGATAGGTGTTTCTGTGCTATAGATCTCTAAAGATTTTAGATTGAATGAAGATTTGACTGTGTCCGTGAGGTTATTCCATAATTGTGGTGCTCTGTAGGATCCACCTTTTGGGCACCCCTGCTCTAAACCAATCAGTAGCTCCTCGTTCATAAAAAACGCACCTCCTGGCACATTACCAACTTCATTTTTATGTTATGGTGTCAAAAGTGTTCCTTTAAAGATTAGCAGTGCAGTTTCTGCCACTTCATGGTCTGGAGTGGGCTCAATGCAAAAACTGAAAACTTGCAGGTTTTTTCTAGGGATCGACCAATTATCGGTCTGGCCGATATTATCGGCCAATATTTGGTATTTTCTGCAATATCGGTATTGGCCAATAGAGATACTGATATTGCCGATAATACATACCAGGACCACCGGGCTCATGACAAGCCTGGTGGTCCTGGGGGGGCCCGCACCAAGTGCTTACTTACCTTTCCAGCAGCTCCCTTCAGCTCCCTGTCTAAATCCGGCGAGTCCCACGGCCGTCAGATCGTTGCAAGGAGTTACCATGTCAATGTTCCGCACGGCATGCAGGCCGCGAGATTTAGACAGGGAGCTGAAGGGAGCTGCTGGAAAGGTTAGTAAGTAGTGATGTCCCGAACGGTTCGCGAACGGTTCACCACGAACGGTTCGCTGCGGACTCATGATTGAGTAAACTTTGACCCTGTACCTCACAGTCAGCAGACACATTCCAGCCAATCAGCAGCAGACCCTCCCTCCCAGACCCTCCCACCTCCTGGACAGCATCCATTTTACATTCATTGTGAAGCTGCATTCTTAGTGAGCTGTCCAGGAGGTGGGAGGGTCTGGGAGGGAGGGTCTGCCGCTGATTGGCTGGAATGTGTCTGCTGACTGTGAGGTACAGGGTCAAAGTTTACTCAGTGATGAGACTGTGGCGAACCGTTCGCGAATCGTTCGGCGAACCATTTGGGACATCACTATTAGTAAGCACTTGCCAGGGAATACTATATCCCCCCCTCCCTGGTAAGAAGCAAGGAGGGGGGACTAAAAATAAATGAAACATTTCAATATTAAAAAATATATATATATATATATAAAATGCCCCCCCCATTTTACACAAATTACATCCCTACACAAACACACACACTCTGCATTATATACACACACACACTACACAAACACTCTGCATTATATACACACCACACAAACACACACACACTCTGCATTCATAATATACACACTTCACAAATACACACTGCATCCACAACACACACAGCTTCCCTGTCTAAACACACTGCATCCACTACATGTGGCATATATATGTTGTGCATTTACCTTTAGAAATAGTTTATTTTTTCAAAATGGTAAATGTACAGAATATCGGCAAGTTATCGGCTATCGGCCTGAAAGTTCACAGATTATCGGTATCGGCTTTAAAAAATCAGTATCGGTCAATCCCTAGTTTTTCAAGTTTTTTTTTCTGAAAACAGTTTTATTGACTCAGCAGGATAGTGTGTTTAAGGAACACTTCCATGGAATGTATTTTTTTTACAATTTCGTAGACATACACTACAAACTGAGGGTAAAAGCTGAGGAGCACTTTGTCAAGAAAATAAGAAAAAACACAAGTACCTCAATGTAGAAATCAGTGAATGTAATACTGTTTCATAGAAAAAAATTTTTTGTCAAACTTCAATGTGGGTCTAGCAATAGACAATTCAGCTCAGTAGAAAATAAAATAATAATACTTAAAGTAGAACTTTAAACTAAATCCCAAATTTAATAAAACTGTCCGTATGTCTAATTTGATTTTTTTTAATTTGTGCATAGTAATGCATCATCTTTAATTCATTCAAAATATGCGGGCAAACTGCAATCAGTTGTGCCCCTTTAAGTTAGTTTGTATGTCCTATTCTAGATCTTTAAATATATGTTGGTTTTAATGTTTTTGGTTTCTTTAAACCCTAACATCACAGAACACAAAGTTAAATATCTACATGTACACCAAAAGGCAAAGAGTATGAAAATAACAACAAATTTGAAGTGTAAAAGCTTGGTTATTGCAAGGTAAAGGGAAACTCCAGACGCCTAAAGCTTGCTGAATTAATTATGGGAGAAGAGTGTGTTCTACCTTGCAAATACTTCTCATTGAACTGCATTGGAAAGCAAGTGATTGGACAGCCACATAAGTCTGGAATGGGTTAGAAGGGAGGGGGGTCTTCCAAAGACTGCAGACAAGAGATCTGCAGCTTTTGTAAGCTCTGCTAGACATACCTCCTGTGAATAAATGTATAATTCAGTGCATGCATTTTTTCATTGGAGTATATCTACTACTAAACATTCTTTATGTTTTTCATATTTTATTTTAATTTGGGCAAATGAGTGTCCCTTTAATACCTTCATGTATTAGGCAGTGAATCAGATCTCCCCTTTGAGAGGTTTAGGATAAGTTAATAGGGAAACATTAAAATGGACACCTGAATAAAATCTTCTATATATAATTATAATGGAAAATAAGAATATATTAATATTGTTACTTAAGAGCTCACTACATTCATAAGAAGGAAAGCTGGTTTTATTTTCAGTATTAAATCTGCTGATGGGTGCTAATTTTTCTAGTAATTAGACATCAGATGAAAAGGTCTGATTTTTCCAAACAGCTGTGAATTTCCTCTTCAGTACAAGGGTGTAGGCTCATTTAGGTGAAATGTGTAGTAGATACACTGAGAATAACATCTTAAACTGTATCTTACTCTGAACCGTAAGTGAAACATATAAGTAAAAAGTGACATATTTTAAAACATTTTTTGTAAATGTGGTGCAATGTAACATAAAGAGATATAGTGGTATATCTTGAATTTGTGGTATTTGATAACATTGATAGACTTAGCAGGAATATAGTGCTGTCATTTTTGTTTTGATTCTTGCAACACCATTTTAATTGTCACATTTTTTTTTTTTTTTGTTATTTTATAAAATGTGTGTAATACCTTTTTAAGCGTGATGATATATTTGGAGTTAAAATTGGCCAAGCCAACCACTGGTGGCAAGAATAAAGTAACGCTCGTTTATTTGCCACATGAATAGCTCCCTTCATATTTTTCATGAATGAAACTACTAGCTAGTTGGTTTGCTATAGGTTTTAAAGGTTCTGTATATGTAGGTCTTACATAGAGAAAATGCCTGGACACTATTTTTTTTTCTTCTTCAATGCAGTCATTAATTATTTTCTATCCAATTCACAGACCTCTAGTAAATGCTTATATTTTGCTTTATCATTTGCCAAAAGTAATAATAAGAAAATTTGACTTTTGGTTTGGGACATGTGTCACGACACAGGAGCAGAATACAATATTAATTTAACATCTTCCTCTTTGTTCAGAAACTGTCATTAAACCACATTGGAACTGAATTGGTTAAAGCAAAAGCAGTCTGCAATAGATTTAGCAGGCACACTTCTGAAATATCGAATTAACCCTTCGCTATTAGCAGATTAAGCACACTTGCAGAAAAAAATGTTGTCTAATTTCTTTTTTTTCATCATATTCCAATTATAGGGTATTTTACATGCATAGGAGCAATAACTTGTAATTGTGAATTACTGACCTGTTGATGTAAATGGAAAATACTAAATAAGTTATGTGAGCAGCAGTCCATTGTGTTATATATTTTATTACTCAAATGTTTCTTTAAACAGGAAAGTAATCAGGAACTAAGGAACATTCTCTAGAATATGGAGTCATAGTTTATTGGAGCAAGACAATAAAAGCACTGCACTTTCCTATTCACTCTGAGTGGCAAACATTCATTGTCGTGAATCATAACAGGTAGAAGGCTTAGAAATGAATATTATTTCTGATGTTAAATTACTGAAGATATTCAGCTGGGCTTGAAATGCCACAATTTATTTTTTTGTCATTGTTTAACATTTTTATGGACGTTGCTAACTTCATTTACTTTCATTCAGCAGGTAAAATTATGCTTGACACGTTTTTGTTTAAAAAAAAAAAAAAAAAACAACCAGGATTGTAAATCAAATTTGAACTGTGTTCTCCCCCACACCTATATTTTTTCTTTTTCTTTTTTTGTCCTAATAAATTGCTTCATAAAATTTTAATACTTCTTGTATAGCAAAGGAATCTTAATTAAAGTTTTATTTCTAACGTTTTGCAAACATATGTTAAGAAGTAATGCTTTTCAATTTGTTACGGGACTGGTAACTGGCTTGTAATTTTATTGTCACAAGACTAGTGATAATGTATGAAATGCTGTGTGTATCCCAATTGGTAGATGTTGCAGGGTCATTGCTTAATTGACTAAGTAAGGGATTGCCCACGCGGTGAAGATATCTTGGCACATTGATGGATAAGATTGGCATTGTAGATGGTTGTGACTTCATTTTACACTGAACCAGTGGAACAGTATCCGGGGGGAGTGGGGGTGGCACAAAAGATACCACAGTTTAGTAATTTCCAACTCTAATGTTTATGTTAGTAGAGGTTGCAGGTGGTTAGAGGTTGTAGTGTGTGTAGGGAAGGTATATGTATAAAGCAAAAAATCTCAGGCACTCACTGTGACAAGTTAATCAGCTTTAATGGACACCTCAACGTTTTGACCTGTACCCAGGTCTTTCTCAAGCTTGATAAAGACCTGGGTACAGGTTGAAATATGGCGGTGTCCATTAAAGCTGATAACTTGTCTCAGTGAGTGCCTGAGATTTTTTTCCTTCATACATGTTCTATGGGGTATGCTGACCCATACTCAGCTAGCACCCTGTGATTTTTATGATTTGAGTGCTACCCTCGTTTCTCTTTTAGGGAATGTATATGGGCTGAAGTGGTTGCAGGGGGGTGTTAGAGTTAGGGTTAATAGAGGCTATAGAGCAGGGGAGGGCTGGCAGCCTTAGGCCTGGGGGGCAAAACCAGTCAAGTGACCCATTGCACCACCAAATCAGTGCAATGGTGCCCACCTTTTCCTGGTTTTATAACGAATAATAATGTTATGCTAATCAGTAGCTCTTTGCCATACCCGCTCCTTCACGGCTCTGACTTTCAATGTTGTCAGAGCGCAGGCTGAGAATCTCTGAGCCTGTGCTCGGACTCACTAACTGAGCGTCGGAACCATGAGGGAGAGGCTATAATCTGACTGCACCTACTGCTGGTGCGCACCAGTGGACCACCAGCGAATCGTTTAAACTGAATAGGCTGGTGTCCCCAACTTGTGAGCTGTGTTGTCCGCGGGGCACCTCTATTGTGATGGCACCCTGCGTGACCGCACAGCGTGCACACTCCAACGGCTGGCCCTGCTGACACACACTGATATTACTACTTAGAAATCCCTCAATATTAATACAGACATCAGAGTAAACACCAATAAACTGTGGAAACAGAGCTGATCCCCCCCAAAATTTATAAAGATTTGCTTACTGGATTTGTTGTAAGATTAAATCATGCCTCCTCCTCTGTCTCTCCCATGCGCTGCTCTGTAGGCTGGGAGGAAGTGAAGAGTAATCACAATCTCCCAGCACAGCGGCACCTGTGGCTGCATGGGGAACAGCTGTATTTGCCACCCCCCATGTGACATCACAATGCCCCACCTTTATGAGCTGCCATACGAACTAACGCCAGTGCTGCCACAGTGTATGTTTACAGGGACCGGCTGTAGACACCAGAACCACTTCATTAAGCTGCAGTCGTTCTGGGGACTAATGTCCCTTTAATGTGAGGTAAATTATAGATTAGTGTCACGAATAATATACTAGATTGCCTACTTACAACAAGATGAAGATGATGATGGGCTGCAGTTTGGCTCCACTGGTCTGGTGTAGAACAGAATCTCTGGAGGCTGTTTGCAACTGTGGTCACAAAATTCAATTTCACTTCTCCCCC